AAACCCTAACCACCCTCTTTAAACTCTCACTCAGATCTCACACAACGCACCTATCATGGCAAACAAAACAAATATAGCATTATTAATCTTCCTCTTCTCGAGCTTTCTCTTCATGAATTCGGAGGCACGCATGCTCCAAATCGCCCGTCCATTCACAAGAATGTCAATGGCAGCCTGCGGCTTCTTCATGAAACTGCTGAAGCAAAGGATACGTGGTCGAGGTATGGAAGAAGTTGGTCACGGAGACAGACCATCGCCAGGAGGACCAAATCCTAAGCATCATGTGATTCACCACAAAGTCACTCAAAAACGAGGTTTCTGCTGTCCTGCAGAGCTTGCAGGTGTTGCTCAGGATGGATATACATCGCATATCTTACTTCTCCTCCTGATTTTCCGATAACGATGTGCATGCCTGCTTTCGGATCATCCTATGTTGGAAGGCATATGTAGGTTGACGTACGCAGTGATGAGTATGATGTTGTGTTGGGTTATTGTGTGCACTGTACTGCAGTTACTGTTGTCCTTTTTTGCTTTATTTTCGTTTCTTGTTTGAATTTTCTCGTGAGACGGTGTTTATTCAGTTAAGTTATGGAAGAGCCTTGAATGTTGTAAGTGCCTGCAGGTTTTTTGTCTGTGCGTGTGGTTTTTAGGGTTTGTTGTGCATTATATTAATGATACCAGGTTTTCTTTATTATATGCAGACTATGCATTGTGATTATAAGCTTTTTTTGGACCTCGGAAACCTTAAATGTGGAGATAGATTTTAAAATTTAAAAAAATGAGTTTGATAATCTTTGGATCCAAACTCTAATAAACTTATGAATCCTGTACACTTTATAATCTTATCACAATGGGACTACGGTCGGATTCACTATGATCAATATAATCTCTTTCCAAATATACTCCATTACACTTTACAACTAAACACATGCACACCTACAGGGTTTGTTTTGTGCCTGTGACCTTTGACACCAAGGAAAGGATTGGGAGCAGCTAGGCGCGGTATGGCAATATATTTGCTCTTGGCAACCATGTTGCTTTTTAATTTATATATTCGAGATACCGTCAGATAATGAATAGGAGTATTTTTTTAAGTGCTTTGATGGCAATTTATATAAACAACAAATGAGTAGTATTGGGTCCACATCTAATTACTACCTTCAACATTTAACATAAGAATTATTTGAACTTTATTTTGATCCTCAATATAAGATCCAATCTATTTTTATTTTATATTTATCCTTTTTTTTAAAACAGTCCTCATAATAATAGTAGTTCTAGCCAATACATTTCATTAGTAAGGATATTTAGGAAAGACCACTTATTATTATAAATAACTAACTTAACTAGTTTTCTTAATTACTTAAATTAGTTAACTAGCTCTTATATAAGGACTTGAGGTAGTATTAAGCACTCTACTCCATGACTATAGTTTCTGAACTCAATACTATGTATCTAGTCCTACGTATAAGATATATAGTTGTAGTATAATTTATAATACAAGCTATATCTTACATTTGGGATTGAAGGTAGTATTATTAAGATCACCACAAGTTCTCTTCTGTGTGGCCCTGGGTGCTGGATACCTTTTTCCCTGTGAGACAGGGTCTTCAAGCTTTTGTTGAATCTCATTTTGGATAAGGCATCAAAGGAACCCATTGTTCTAGAAAAAAATATGTATAAGTTGACTTACTGTCAGCAATATATATATATTAATCGGAAAGCATAGGCGATGGAGAAGCACTAGCAGTATTCTAAAAAGTAATTCAGCGCTTTGTGAAGAGAGTTTAAGGCGGCGTGAGGAGGCATTATCTAGCAGTTTCTAACAAAACCCAACACTGAGCTTGAAGGCAACGTTTAATATATTGCCCACTCACTATAACACAGTAAATTTGAAATGGCAGCCAGAAGAAGAAAGACAGATATATGGTCAACTACCTTACACTTGCAATTCCAAGCAGAACCACCATCAACAAACGTTAGCATATCAAAAAAATACACAACACAAAAAAATTTATTTATTACCTCCGGTCCTAAATATAAGAACTAACTAAAATTTGAGTATTAAAAAAATAAGTTAAGTTAAATATTTGCAATAAATATGTGTTATTTTTTATAATTTTTACTAATCATGTATATTGATTGGAATTACAATTATTAGAAGGACTCCTTGAAAAAATACATAAATATGACAGATAAAGTGAATTAGAGGTTATATATATAACTAAAATAAAAATCAAATGAAATAAACGAAATATTATATTAAGGACTAGAGGTAGTATTTTACAACAGTCAATATTAATATATATCAATATCAGTATCAAAAATACATACATATATAACATCAAACTTATAGTAATTAAGTTTCTAAATAGTGCAAATTTTATTTTCTGGGGCTCTTCTCCCATAAATGTATTCCTACCGGCAATCAAAGAAACAGTCAAATGGAGCATGTTCAAGGAAAATGTTCACTACAATTACCGTTTTTAGTGACTATGTGAGTTTATAGGTGTAACAATATTTGAACACGCGCGCACACGCAGTAGTAAATACGTAAAGATGTTCTAAGTATGAGGCTAAAAGGAAATAGTAATAGTCATAATATATAAAATAGTCAGTGGCATGGCTCGATATATAATTGAGTGCTACATTAGTAGCATATGCCAAGCTGGCAGAATGCCGGACTGGTCCTATATATAGCAGCTCGTGCCTATTGCGACTCCTACCTTATTTTTATTTTAATTTATATATTTTACTGTTGATCCAATCTGTTAACACTTAGTGTCCGTTTGGATCAGCGATTGGAAAAGCAGCTTATAGAAAAAGTAGCTTATGAAAAAGTGAAGTTGATAAAAGTTAAATTGGATAAGATGAATTGTGTTTAGATTTAAGTTCAGAAAAGTTAATTTACAAAAGTAAGATTGGTAAAAGCTTGTTTGGATTATAGTTGAGTAAAATTAAGTTTGGCTGAAAAATTACCAAAATGGATATGAGTTTTAATAAATAATGAAACATGATAAAAAATTGATTTCACATAATATAATGAAATTAAAATAATTTAATTTGAAGAAATCAAATTTAACGAGTGAATTAAATTTTAAAATTTGAAAGAAATCATAAAAAATATTTTAAACATAAATTAAAACATAAAAAAATTGAGATAATATAATGAAGAAGTGAAATTTAATGAGTGAATTAAAATCAAGAGAAATAGTTAAAAATATTTTAAGTATAAAGTGAAACATGATTAAAAAATGATAAGAGAATAAATTCAAATTAATTTTATATGAATAAATAAAATTGATTGAGTGAATTAAATTCGAAAACATTAGAGAAATGAGAAAAAAAATAAGACAAATAAAAACGAAACAAATAGTTAGTTAAAACTGCTATATAAAATAAACAAGGATTTAAGATAGGGAAAACAATAATAGAAACAAAAAATATTATAAATTTAACCTCATCCCATGCTTCTCTTTTTCTTTTCTTTTATGTGGTTTTTGGAAGAATTAAAAGAATATGCTTACAATATAGAGAGGGGGAAAAACATAAAGAAGTGTTATGAATTTTTAATAAGGGGAAAAGGTGAATTTACTTTATACCAGCGGCGAAGAAGCGCGGGAGCTCTCAGTGAAAATGTGTGAAGATTGTGAAAGTGAGCTAGCTCAAGGGACTGAGGGAGGAAAAGGCATATGAAAGAGAAAAAACAAAAATTATCTGACATGGCAGAACGACTTTAAGCTCCTCTGATATAAGAATAAGCTCCTTCTGGAGCTTATTTTAACTGGGCGTTTCAGTAGCTTAAAATTGGATAAGCCCAGTGAACTTCAAGCCTTGCCAAACGCCCTCATTCTCTTAGCTCGGCTTAATTTAAAATTTAAGTTGTTTTGCTGACCCAATCAGACCCTTAATTGAAACCCTCCCCTCTTCCTTTTATAAAAATACACTCAATAGACACCCCACCTTCCCCAAGTTCAGGACTTGACAATGATTTTAATTAATTGTATAGATTATTTAATATCTATATTCCCATTATGCAGTTTCAAAAGTAATATTACCTGATTTCTTCTCCAACTATATTCCCATTATAGTTTGAAATCATTCAAATCAACATGGCTTTTAATATTTCCTATTAATATTTGTAGTGATCTTCTTATTAGTATTTCCTACAGAAGTAACACTTAAGCTGCATTGTAGTAAATAAATAGAATGTGGTCCATCAAAGTTCTCACATCAGTTTCTGACCCTAAGAGTTCACTAGGGCCAAAACATGTTTTTAGACTTAAAAAACTATTTACAAAAATATTTATAAATTGCCTATCAACAAAGTATTATAGTTTTTTTTTTGTGCTAAAGTATATGTATATTTTTATTAGATGTAATCCTATTTGAGACATTATCGAACACTAAATGTGGACATATTTTCTAAATGGAATTTAAATTTTAATTCGTTATATTGTGAGAAACTAATCATTTTTGTTAGACTGAATTCATATTTATAAGTATTATAGTATTGACATGTCAAGGTATAAGAAGAATGATTTGTACTTCGAAGGTTGGAGCTTAATATATTGGAATTGGACCATATTCGCTAAACAACTAATTGGGCTCCACGAGAGAGAAGCCCATTAGAGAACGACTCAAAGGCGCGGAAAGAGAAAAACATCACACCTACTCTTCACCCGCCTCGCCGGCGCGTGAAAATCTTTCCCAGCTGTGGTCTGCTCCGGCCACTCACCGAAAATGCAGGTATTCGTTACGCGCTATACCTCCGTCTGCGAAAACTTTTCAAATTTTCGCAATTGAAAGTCCCCGCCACAAAAGTCTCTCTCCCTTAAATTCCTCGGTTACGTACACGTCCCGCCCTATGCTCTATCTTATTGGTGCGTGAAACCTACGTCACATATGCTCGAGTGAGTCCGCGCCCTTCATTCGTGATGCTATAATACTTCCCGGGCACGACTCTGTGCGCACCTCAAACGCTTCATCTGGTCGATGGTTCTACACGAACTCACCGTTGCCGTACACCTGGAATCCGATAAAACAATCTTCGTTTATAGAGAGAGGGGGGAAGACGAAGAGTTCTAGAGAGAGAAAGTGTGGAGCGAAAGAGAGAGTGCAAGATCTGATCGAAACCCAGGTAACAAGCTCGAAACCCTACTGCGCCTCGTTAGGTCTAAAGCTCGTTCTTTTGTCCGTTCTATTTCTCCCTCTCCTTATGTGCACAGGTTTATGTGTCTTCGTCTCTGTGGGTGAAAGCGGGTGAATTTGGATTTCGTCTTAGAAGGTCCCACGTAAGCCCTAAAAATTTAGAGTCGCAGGGTCGAAAGTCCTGGAAGTTCTGGTTTGCAATTCTTTCATTTCTTTGTTTGTAAAACCCTAGAATTAGACACAAGACTGGGATTTGATATTAGTTTTGGAAAGAAAAGGTGTAAAGAAAAGAATTAGGGTTTTGGATGTATGGCTTCCGGGCCTATAGTAGGAGGAGATGACGGAACTAGAGAGAAACAGAGGTACACAGAGAGTAAGGTGTACACGAGGAAAGCTTTTAAAGGACCGAAGAACAAAGCTAACGTTTTGAACACCGTTGCTACCGATACTGCTGCCCCCACAACAGCTAACAACGATGACAATAAGAATAGCACCATTAATAATGGTGGTGTCAATGAGACCGAAAAGAATGACACTAACGTTTTGGCTCTGCCCCCAGCGCAGTCTATTTTTCCGGATGAGAATACGGCTCAGCCAAGATTGAATTCAAAATTGGATGTAGTGTCAGATGACTCTTCCACCTTAAATCGTCGTCAGGACGAACCTCCAGGTCCGAATCCTCTGCAGGACGAACCCTCAGGCGCCAGTCCTCAGCAGGACGAACCCTCAGGCCCCAGTCCTCAGCAGGACGAACCCTCAGGCCCCAGTCCTCGGCAGGACGAACCCTCAGGCCCCAATCCTCAGCATGACGAACCCTCAGGCCCCAATCCTCATCAGGACGGTCCCAATCCGCAGCAGGATACTGTTCCCTGTCCTAAGGAGTTGCCATCAGCTAATGGTGCTATCAATCCTGGATTGGAGAATCGTATTAAGATCAACTTAGGCTCAAGCTCAAAGCAAGAAATGCAAGAGCTTCGGAGGAGGCTTGAGCGCGAGCTTGACACAGTGAGAAGTTTGGTCAGGAGAATTGAAATGAAACAGAGGCAGTTGGGTGGCTATGGCAATTCAAATATGCTAGCGAATGATAGAATTGGTAATACCATTGGACCAAGACGTGTTCTGTCAGGGGTAGCATCTGGTGGTGTTCCAAGAGAATCCGCCAGGCCTTTGCACCAGTTAAGCATATCAGTGCTAGAGAATTGTCAAGGAGTCGGTGAAACTGTTGAAAAGGAGAAGAGAACCCCCAAGGCAAACCAGTTATATAGTAATTCTGAGTTCTTGCTAGGGAAGGATAAATTCCCTCCTGCAGAGAGTAATAAGAAGTCAAAACTGAATGGAAAGAAGCAGGGTGGGGGAGAAATGGGACACGGTTTTGGGATGGGATCAAAATTCTTCAAAAGTTGCAGTTCATTGCTTGAGAAGTTGATGAAACACAAGCATGGTTGGGTTTTTAATGCTCCTGTTGATGTTGAGGGCCTTGGATTGCATGATTATTTTAGCATAATCACACATCCTATGGACTTGGGTACTGTGAAAACAAGGCTGAGCAAGAATTGGTACAAATCGCCAAAGGAATTTGCGGAGGATGTGAGACTTACATTTCGTAATGCTATGACATATAACCCACCTGGACAAGATGTTCATATAATGGCAGAGCAGCTATCAAAGATATTTGAGGACAGATGGGCCATAATAGAGTCGGATTACAATCGGGAAATGAGATATGTATTGGATTATGGGACAACTGTTTCTGCACCATCACCACTATCCAGAAGGGCTGCTACAATACCTCCGCCTGCCCTTGATATGAGAAGGATTTTGGACAGATCAGAATCGATGACGCAACCTCCAAGACCCATGAGCATTACTCCTTCTAGTAGAACCCCCGCTCCAAAGAAGCCAAAGGCAAAAGATCCGTATAAAAGAGACATGACATATGAGGAAAAGCAAAAATTGAGCACAAGCCTCCAAAATCTGCCTCCAGAGAAACTAGATACGATTGTACAGATCATTAAGAAGAGAAATTCTGCACTTTCACAACATGATGATGAAATTGAAGTGGACATTGATAGCGTAGATGCGGAGACTCTTTGGGAGCTTGATAGGTTTGTGACCAACTTCAGGAAAAGTTTGAGTAAGAACAAGAGAAAAGCTGAGCTTGCCATTCAAAGAGCAGAAGCTGCAAAGAATGCCCCACAAATGGTATAGTCTTGATCTGAATCATGATTGCCGATTGCTAGCCTGTGTTTGGGAAACAATTATTGTTAACTACAATTACCTTGTGATCTTTTGTAGGCGCTGGAACCTGCTGCGGTTGTGGCTCCTCAAGAAACCATAGCAGGTAAAATATTGAGCTGACTGGTGATGCATGAACTATTATTTTTTAAGCAATTTGTTATTTGTTATTAACTAATATGTGTTGTCTTGCTATCTCTGGGCAGGTGAAAGAAATGCTTCTGCATCTTTTCCTTCACAAGCAGAAAAACAGGTGAATAATGGGAGTAGGTCAAGCAGTTCTAGCAGCTCAAGCAGTGATTCTGGATCTTCTTCAAGTGGTACTGCGATTTGTAACTTGATAATATATATCCTACTTCTCATCCATGCGCACACAGATTTACTTTTGCCTGTTGCAGTTGAAGACCTAGTGTTCTATCTTTCTCATTTTTATTTATTTCTGCAGATTCTGATAGTGAAAGTTCCTCAGCATCTGGATCTGATGCAGGATCACCGAGGACCTGAATTAATTTAATTCTCTAAGGTATAATCACAGATATCAGAGTCTTAACCAAGTCATGTTCTCTTCATTTGGTCTGAAGTACTGTCTGCATAATTTAATTTTCTTACCCCCCCCCCCCGGGGAAAAAAAATCGTACATTGCTATTTGCCTTATTTTTCCTCTCTTCGTAGCAGGTGTGCCATGCCTTTTGTTTGTATCCATTTTCATGATTGGGGATCTAGTCTTTTACATATTTGTTTCTGTTGTTTTTCTACCTTTCTCTGTATGGAAACTTAATCAAAGCTTGCAGGCCAATACCAGACCTTTACCACATGGGGGGCTCTATAAATTAAATTCTATTTGGGTTAAACCCAATTCTTGGAATCGCAGTAAAATGGCTACTAAATGTTTGATGCCTTGAACTTGTTTGTAGTTCGGAAAAGTAAAAAAGGGGGTGTGGTTTAATCTGTTGAGCTTTATTGGTTTGTGGGGCATTTGTTGGTCTGTCACTGGATGTAGGCATCTTGACAAATGATTGGTTATGTTAAGATTAATTGAATAAACTATCATTAAATCTATAATTACGTATACATTATTGATGGTTTGTAACATATTTACGCTTATGCATCACTAGTCTGTAGACAGGTGACATCTTGTTATGTCATAATCTAAATCTTAAGCATTTCATTTAATGGTCCCCTCTGAAGTAAAACACAAAGGGCGTACGGAGGGCACCTTGTGACCTCATCATGATGGGGTTTCTGTTCTGTCATTATAGACAATTATTGTACTTTTTTTGGGGGGGGGTTTGCTCTTGCCTTTTTGTATTGGTCAGCCATACTGTGTGTCTGTCCTGCTTTTCAAAATATCATTTTTATAATTCTGATGCACACAAACATGTGGCTCGCTCACATGGGTATAAAATAGAATTCATACGTCACTAGTGACCTTACCCCTTATTAAGAAATTATTTGCCTAGCATAGGTACAATGAATTTTTTTGGTCTTCATTGCTGGCTTTATGATCAAACATTTGGTAACTTTCAGATGGGCCTGGCTTTGACTATGTACTGCTAGTTGTTTTATAAGTGACTTCTTTGCCATTTCAAGTGGCATGATCCTATCCATTTTAGCTTCCCCGTCCTACGTAATAAATCAAATGGATTCAGATTCCAGATTTGTAGTGAAATCCTCGGTAGCTATTTATGTGTGCCAAGTTTTTTGGACGAATGGTGGTCATGTATGTCAATCTCTTGATGTCGTTTTTGTCATTCACTGTGCAGAGCTAAGGTCTGGTCTTCTAATTCAACTATTCGTGTATATGCTCTATTGCCTAGTATCGAGGCCAAAATAAAAAATGCCGAGTATGGTCTTTTTATTGAATAATTCAACGTGTTTAGTCCTTTAAAATGTGCTCAGTTGTGAAAGGCTTGATTGGCTGTCTGAAGAGTATTATCATTATTATTATCAATAATATACAAAATTGTGAAGTTGTGCTAAATGCTCACTGGTTTCCAACCTCTTATTTTCAATTCATGTGTCAGGTATTTAGAGTAGATAATTGATGACATGAAGATGACATGAAGCTTCCACATTATGGATCCAAATTTAGCAGCTGGTGTAGAGGGGAAGCATCACAGTCAAGGCCACCAGTGATCCTATCCTACAAATGCAGTATGGGATCTTTTTCTTCCCGTTTGTTGGAACTTTGCACCATTGCAGCTCGTGGCCGTATTTGTTTCGACACGGACTTTTGTATAATATTTGGTAGAATGTTGTGATAATTAGATAGGATTTTAGGTAGTTTTCCGTAGCATGTGTACATTGCTAACTACTGCTACTCATTAAGTTCTATTGGTGACTTCTTTCTTTGGTTTTGTGGTGGCAGATTCAGGATTCCTTGGTGTTATACAAAGATATTCTGTAATTCCAACTTCTTGAAGTCATTATTGGTTCACATGAAATCTCATTCTATGTTGTGGTATCCTGAGTCTGGCATTGGGTTGTTAAAACGTAATAACCATAGGGAGATGTTACTTTGTTTTCAATCAAGCGAGTTCATCTTTTGCTCTGCTTTTGTCCCCATGGGTTTTGTAATATGATATCCTGAGCATCTTAGGAGTGATCGAGCAAAAGCGAACGTGTTTCTGTGGCTATTAGGCGGTTTATAGTCGAGATTAATACAATTGTACAGCCAAGGGTTTTATTTTTTCCCTCCATGCGTGCCTTATATTAGTTATTGTGATTAAGCTGTTATTTCGTCGGCGACGGTGAATTCTTCCGAGAACCAAGAGCTTTGTACGTTTGCAAACCATAACACAGAAAAGAAATGAACTTGCGATTATGAAGGACCCTTGACAGGCGCCTTTTATTTTTGGGTATGCCAAGCTCAATCCAAATGGAGTATTTGTTTTGATCCAAAAAGACATGCCCTTAGTGCAGAAATAAACAACTTGTCGGAGAAGCCTTGCCTCTCATTATGCAAATGGTTCTTGTAAATAAGAGTGACGTGTTATATGAAAATAAAAGGTGACGATCGAAATCAGGAAAACGCCATGATGCCAATGGGTTAGAAGTTTAAACGATGGAGTAATTTCTTGGGAGGGAGTGAGCAAAGCGTCTTGCCAGTCATGCTCTCATCACTCGCGCGCTGGTCGTTGTGCTCTCACGTCTCGCTCTGCCATTTCAAACCCAGAAGTTTCTCTTTGTCGTCTTCCTCTTCGTCTACATCTTTCCATTTCTCACCTTGGTCAGGCCTCCAAGCGTGGAGGCAAAGTCCTCTCAACGAGAATCGTAGCTGGGGACCCAATGGTCCCGAACCCCAGCTTCTTTCGGCTGCATCGACCACCGACGATGCGCATGATGCCCGGATTGGGGAAGCTGCTTCTTTGGCGGAGCTAGGCTCGCTGGTTCTTTCCACCAGTGATCCTCTCACCAAGTGCCGATTCTCTCATCTCGCTTACTCCAGGTGGCGCCGCGAAAACCTCCCTCTTGGGCAATTCACACCGCCCACCCGACCTGCCCGACCCGAAAAACCCAAATTGGTTCGTTTTTCATTTTGGTTGCTATAACTTATGCGCTGTGGGATAGCTTTTGGGTTGCCAAAAATGACGAAGTGGATCATGTTTGTGGGGCTAATACATTTCTTTTTTGTTTATCAACGCAAGTTATTATAACTTCTAAGCAATTCACTCCCAAAAAAAAAAGGAAGGAAAAACTTCTGGGCAAATTGTTCTAAAACATAAAAACAGTGGGGAGATTGTTGTTGTTGTTATTGTTACTGCTACTACTTCAGAAGGGATGACTACTTTTTGGTTTAACACTCTAACTTGACCCAAAACTCGTAAACATTTGTCATTCCACTTCACTTACTCCAATTACTTTTAACGCGGAGTATTCTCCACGTACTTGAATTCCTAGCGGTGATGAATATTCAGTGAGCTAATGCAAGTTGGGGCCTTTGTGCTGCTTTGTTGGACTGCACGAGTTTTTGTCATGATTAGGCATGTGTAGAGAGTATTTTATTTTATCTTCATGCTGTGAAATGCAGTTTCCCTACTTAGGGAGGACTAAATTATTGCATGGGCTATTCCATGCCAATGCAGGTTTCTCCGAAGGAAATTCCTGATCCCAAAAGTTCAGGTTTGCCACTGAATGCTTATATGCTTCACAATTTGGCCCATGTTGAGCTCAATGCAATTGATTTGGCGTGGGATACTGTTGTTCGGTTTTCTCCCTTCAGTGAAATTCTTGGGGAGGGATTCTTTGCTGACTTTGCTCATGTTGCTGATGATGAGAGCCGCCATTTTTCTTGGTGTTCTCAGAGGCTCGCTGAACTTGGTTTTAAGTAAGGATAGTTGCACTTTACGCTTTTTTTTTCCTCCCTCCCTAAAACATTGGTTACAATGATTTATTTAGTATACTTTGTGCATAACTAGATATGGAGATATGCCTGCTCACAATTTACTGTGGAGTGAGTGTGAGAAATCATCAGACAATGTTGCTGCACGTTTGGCAGTCATCCCATTAGTCCAGGTAACTTTGTTCCTCTTGTCCGGTCCTATTCTCAAGGACTTCTTTTCCAGTCTGTGGATTGTCTCGTTGGGTGGTAAGCGGCTTATTAAATTTGACAATGCATCTGTTTGCATGAGTCTATATGTTTTGTTATTCCATCTATCAATTAGAGATTATGTGACAAATAGAATGACTCATGCAGACTCTGCTGCTGATTAAGTGACACATCATAACTTTTGACCTTGAAATAAGTGTGAGCACTGGTCTTACTATTGGAACAATCCTGAGAATTCTGATTTCTCGATCCTCTTTTGGTGGCAAATAGCGGGGCAGTGCTTGGAGAAAATTTTTTAAGTACTCCCTGAACATCGCCATCCTTGGATAAATGAGTAAAATATTGGTGTTTAATTGTTTATGATCAAGCATTCTGGAAGTGTTGCTCAAGGATTGTCACCACCTCCCTTGAGGAAATCCTAATCAAATGAAAATAAAATTGTCTTACCTTCATAGCTGGGTAGAAGGCTTTTCTTAAAAATATTTTGAGTCATGGGGATTGACACGAATCCACCTCTGATCTTTTTCCCTCAGACATCACATGCTTCAGAGATAGAAGCGCTTTGATCTATATGATCTTGATGCTCTGAATGTACTAATTTATTTTACTTGTAGGAGGCTAGGGGCCTTGATGCTGGGCCACGGCTGGTGCAGAAGTTAGTGGGATTTGGAGACAACAGGACATCAAAAATAGTCGCTAGGATCGCTGATGAAGAAGTTGCACATGTAGCAGTAGGTGTCTATTGGTTTGTTTATGTCTGTCAGAAATTGGATTGTCCCCCTGACTCCACTTTCAAAGGTTTTTGAAAACCTACTAGATCTCATTGCATCTGCACGCTTATGTCCATATGGAAGGTTTACAAGCTTCAATACTATTTTGTACGACCATGCAGACTTGCTAAAGGTGTACAATGTAGAACTGAAGGGTCCGTTTAATTTTTCTGCTCGAGATGAGGCTGGAATTCCCCGTGATTGGTAAGAACTTGTAGACTGAGCTTACACTTAGCCTATTCCAGATAGCTGACAGTTTGCAGTTTACTAATCCTCCTTCCTGATTCTTGCTTTGTTGCTTGTGCTTGCCTCGTCTATTGTCTAGGTATGACCCATCATCTTGTGGCAGTCCTGAAAAGAGAGACGCAAATGACCAGAAAAAACGACTCTGTGCAGTAAGTAATTTGGGTTATCATGCGAGATTCTTGGATAGATTCAGTCTACAAAAGATGACTAGAACATGTGTATGAATGATCAGTAAATTAAGCTAATAATGCAGTGACATCTAAACATATATTAAAATTAGACTGGATTTTGAAATATGCAAATATGAAGCTTATCGATTTCAATTTAAGTGGCTTGACGTCTTTGTTTTCAGTGGGTATGACAAGTCTACCTGATGGAACTTGGGTTTAGAGATAATTAGGATTATCTTATGTCACTACCCATGAAGTTTCAAGAGTGCTTCTGTGAAGGGTTTGACCTCATGGTTCCACCCTTGGAATTTGATCTTGTCTAGGGATTTTTTTCCCCCCCCGGTTCAGCACGTGCTTAAACAAGGAAAAATATCCAAATGTAGAAACCTTTTTAACATCTCAAGATGTTTAGTTTTCCATACCAAGGCACTTTTTTGAGCAATTATACCTTCTATAGTTTCAATTTTCGATATGGGTATGTTTAAATCCTTACTATCAATGGAGGGAATTCAGTGAAAAGAGAAGAGACTTGCGGGGGATGCACTCTAGAGGGTCCCACATCATTATCCCTCCTCTTTCGCCATTAGGGGTCTGTTTGGTTGGAGGGGAGGGGAGGAGAGCTAAAATTTTGTACCATTATACTTTTATGGTTTTTTTAATATTCCACTACTACTCATAAAATATATTATTATAATATTTATTTTAAATAAAAAAATATATTATCCTAAGTAAAAAAATAAAAAATAAATTATTATAATTAAAAAATATATTATAACAAAAATTAATTAAAAATAAAATATTATAATATTATAAAATTATTTTTTTTGTAAATATATTATTTATTAAATATATTTTAAAGCTGAAAAAAAGGATAGCCTAAAGAGAATAAAATTTCATTTTCTTAGAGCATATAAAATTTGTTAATTTAATTATTTCAAATATATTGTATTCATTAGAATAAAAAATTATGGTACCAATTTTTTAATGCACATATTAACATGATGATACTGAATTTTCATTACATTATATAATTTAAATTAAGATGTAAATTAATTTATATAATATATCAATAAAAAATATAAACTAATATGTAAGGGTAAAATGGTAAATTATTTATTACTATTCCTCTCTTCTCTTTTTTGAACTAAACAAGATATCATTAAATATTCTTCCTTTCCTTTCTTCTCAATCAAACCAAACAAGGTGGGGATAAAATCTCTCCTTCTCTTCCTTGCCCCGCCCTTCCCTTTCTCTCCTATCCTCCCCTCAAACCAAACAGTCCCTAGATCTCCATTTCGAGTGGGGATCAGAGTTCAGATTCGGATAATCTCAAGTGATTAGATGGTTTTCAAATATAGACAACTGAAAAAGAAAATAAAAGAAGGGGGGTGTCTCAATATTAATATTATAATTGGTATGAAATATGAGAAGGGGGAAAAAAAGAAGAAGTAAAGCATGCTGCAGCTCTATCTTGAGCTGTGAACGGAGCTGCCTCAAGTAATGCAAAAGAATTTGACAAAAAAAGAAGTAATGTAAAAAGAAAAAGAAGTAAATCTTGTGCGTATTTTTGGGTGAGTCGTTTAACTTGAAGACACTTAATTATCTCTTAGTTTGAGGGGATTAAAATTTTTCAATGTTAGTAGGTCTTTTTGCCAAAAATGATGAGTGTGTGTGTGCTGTAGCAGGTTCGGGAGAGGCTGGCTTCCATGATTGATTTGGAAGGTGAGAATTTCAATTTGACCAGATGATGGTGGATTGGAAGATGCTTGAAGCATCCTTCCTTGACTTGAGGCCGATTCCAGCTCGCTAGCCTGCCTTTGCTTTGGCACCCGCGTGGTGACGTAGGACCCCCTTTGGGATTTATATTACGGGTCTTTTTTGGGACTTCAGTTCTTATCCTTGGAGGATAAATTATTGCAGCATATATTCCTCACTATTGCATTTTTTTATGCCTTTTCTTTTTTTGGGATTTTTTTTTGTCCCGGGGGGGGGGGAATCAATCCTCAGGCACAAAAATATAGCAACGTTGCTGTAAAGTCCAGAGTCCTTTTTTATTGCCTTTTTTCTTTAAAACAACGCTCTATATGTTTAGAAAGTGTTCATCATCAATGGAATATAATTTAATCTGTTTTTCAAAGTGTAGTGGGAATACAATGTGGCGTAAAACAGAAGAGGAAGAAAGGGGAGAGACAAAGATTAGGGAAAAAAGAGAGATCAAGAAGATTAGTGAGAAATTGCATCGTGAATGATTCGATCCATATCCAAAATCTACCGACGATCCTAACAATACTTATAAGAAAAAATTGTCAAAAAAACTGCCGAGATAAAAAAAAAAAAATACAAGTAAGGAATTCTAATGACGTTAGTGTGGGTTTTAACAACAATAGTATAAGTTTTGATGGAAATTTTTATAAACCAGTCTTTGTGTATAATTTTTCTATTTCGGAATTTTTTTTAACCATTTTCCCTACTTATAAAGTAAATAATAATAAATGCTAATCCTAATCAGTCTTAAAATAATAAAAAATAAAAAATTAAAAGAATTCTAAAATAATAATCTAAATCATATCCTAATAATAAAATCTTGAATTTAATCTAATAATAATTATCTTTATCCCATATTAACATCAAAATTGTGATGTTCTTAAAATCGCAAAATTAGATGTGGTCCAATAATTGAGATGAGAAATTTGATTTGAATAATACTCCTCCGGTCCTTATTATAAGACCCAATTTGACTTTTTATTTGGTCCTAATTATAAGACCCAATCCATTTTCTCTCTTATATTTATGCATTTTTTTCCAAGATAATCCTTCTAATAATGATAGTTTTAGCCAATATACTTAATTAGCAAGGATATTTTAGGAATAACAACACTTATTTATTATAAATAACCAACTTAACTTACTTCCTTAATCTCCTCAAATAAGTCAATTGGGTCTTATAATTAGGACCGGAGGAGTAATATAACCTAAAGATTGTTGAAAGCGTACAAGGAAAACAAAAGGGCTCTTTGATGGGAAACTTCTTTAGGATCTGACGATTGAAAACGTGTCTTCCCTTCCTCACAATAACAGAACAAAACAACCCTATACCTACTTCTTTTCACTTCTCTTTCTCTCGTTCCATTTCAATAACAAGAAGAAAGTTGCAGACTTGTGAAAACAGCCCCCGGAAAGAAAAACAATGTGTAGCTCCGACGGAGATTGCAGGCCTTTGGGTTTCCTTCTGGGTCTTCCCTTCGCCTTCCTCTCTCTTATCCTTTCCGCTGTCGGCCTCGTCGTCTGGATCATCGGGTACACCCTTCTCTTTCTTCTGTAACTCACTCTTTCTTAATCATCTGGGTATCGCCGATTTCCCAGTGACGACTTCAATTTGCGATTTTTCTGCGATTTCTTCTTCTGGGTTGCTGTAACTTCGCCGCTTGTGATCTGGGTTTCGATCTAAATTAAATTAAAATACACAAACACACGCAGATTCACGAGACTCTGAATAATCGGTATTGATTGATTTGGGGTTATGATATGTGCAGATTGTTGTTGACATGTATATGCCCTTGCTGCTTGTGCCTGACGGTGATAGTGGAGCTTGCTTTAGAGTTGGTGAAGGCTCCATTGCATGTCATGGAGTGGTTCACTTCTCAGATCCCTTGTTAAGATTTCTGTTTGTTCCAGCCATTTCTGATTTATAACCAACCTCTTGTTCATATATGTGTGTGTGTGTTTTTTTTTGGGGGGTGGGGGTTTTAGTTATGTTGATCTATGTGGTTTCTGGGTTTATCCGGAAAACTATTGCTTAATTCATCGAATTCCAGCAGTACAATAACGAAATTGTGGATTTCCACTTCGGTTTGTTCTGTCTATTTTGCATTTGACATTGCTGACCGAGGAAACAAACGGCCACAGTTTCTGTAACGAACAACTTCCGTTTGATCTTCATCACCAATACAGTGATGTGAATCTGTTTCCAAGGGAAAATTGGATATTATTGTATAGAGTCTGCCTTTTTATATGTGTAGGTATATGGGTGTGTATAATCTTTCATAATATACGATTGCAAACAGTACATGTGGTTGTGAATAGCAAGCCCCGCGCTTTGTTTCCTACTTGCAAGCTGCGCCAAGTGTGATGATATCTTATTTGGTTAAAAAAAAAATCTGAGATAATTTAATTGATAAACGAGACCACGATTTAGAAATTGCTCATTTGTTGTCTAAAGGATGAGAATTATGTGCATCACTAATCGTTTTTGGATTTTCAGTCAAATTTTAAATGAGACTTACAGAAGAGAATCTTATAAAAATAGATAAACGACGGGAAAGTATTAAATAGAGATAAAGTTAAAAAGCTGTTAAATTTTAAATGAGAGTTAATAAAATTTAAGATTTTATTAGTAGGTGTGAAATATGTTAAGAATGGTTTATAAATAGGCCCAGAGTAGTATAAGATAAGATTTTAAACGTATTTCTATGCATTTCCTAACAAGCAGTCAAGCACGCCGGTCAGAAAAGAAAAAACAAGTAGTCAAGCACTGGAACCAGCCAGCACGTCTTTGGAGTTTGTTAGCCAACTATCATCGTCATTCGTCAATGCAACACAAATCAAAACCGAGGGGGGGCCATGTTTTCGTCCATATATTGTTTTATCTCAATGATATTTGTTTTTTTTTTTGGGGGGGGTCGAAGATAAAAATAATATTTTTTAAATTTATAATACTAAGCAATCATCTACCGTATTATTTTTACATAATATTAAGTTAATCAATTCAAAATTTAAAAAATAAAATAAAATGTTAAAAAGTCTCAATGATAAAGAAGAAATTTATTTATAAATAGCAGCTTCATAAAATCAAGGGAAAATAATAAATAAAGAAGCTAGAAAATGTGATATTTTAAATCAGGAATTTAAGAGTTGAAAAATGATAGAAAAGAAAGTAATGTCTGATATAGTACTTTGTAAATATAATTAAATGACTAAAATACCTTTATATCAAAAAGTTTATTAACAAGTTTTGAAATAGTAATGACAAGTGTTGAATAACAAATGATAAGAATTATATTGACAATAAAAAATTATTTATTAACAAGTTGTAAATTAGTAATAAACAAGTGTTAAACAATCAATAATGAAAAATATATTGATAATGACAAATTTGATAGCTTTTTTTTTTCAAATTTAATACAATAAAATTTTAGTCATTTATCTATATTTGCAAAATCTCTGATTAGGCACTACTTTCTTTTCTGTTATTTTCAATTCTTAGGTGTGTGAATTGAGAAATGATAATTTAAAGGTCTTTCCTGGAATTTTCCATAAAATCAATCAATATTAAAATAAAAATTAGAACAACACGCGCGCGCGCGCGCGAGAAAATGAGTGAATGTAGGTACATACGAGACCCACAAGTGGAGAACAGTTTGCTTATGGCCTGACTGAGTTGGGCCCGATATGCCAGGCAAGAGTAGCCTATTGGAGTTGTCTATGCTCCCATTTTTATAGTGATCATTAAAGGATAAAACTGGAAAAAAGAGAGAGTAATAAGTACTTATTAAAATTACAATATTGCTTTTTTAAAGGAAAAAAAAACTAAAATTTTAAGGTGACTCATATTTCCAACCTAAAAACTAAAGTAGAAGCGTTTCGTAGTGTGCCTCTGCCTTTCAGACGTTTTTTGTATTGATTATTAGATTTTATAATTTATGCTACAGATTAGATCTTATATTAACCATTAAGATAGTATATAAATTTCATCTTTACACCTTCTCTTTCCCTCTCATTCTCTTCAGCAAAATGGCCTCTTGTTCAATTAACACACACACACACACACACACACATGCGTGTGTATTTATCTATTAGTAGTATAGCACGTCTTGCTTACTAGTGCAGGGAGATGATTCAATAATTCAAATCATCACAATTATAATAAACAGAAAATATAGTGTTTGTTTTCTGGTCTCAACCTGATCAATCAATGCACAGAATCTAAGCAACAAGTAGGAGGGATAAACAATAATGGATGGTGTGTATATATAAAAGTCTTTACCAGCAATATCACTATGATACTGTGGGTAGGATCCCAAGATTTGAAACATTGATCCTAACACATTCGAACGTGCAAAAATCCTTCAGTTTTTTTTCTTTTTCTTCTTTTTTATTATGTCCTGTAGAATTAATCTACTCACAGATTTGTCAGTATACGTATATGGAAAGCCGTAAACTAACGTGTGTTAAACATTGATTCTAAGGCTATAGTATGTAATTTCAGCTTGTAGGTGTAGTTCAATCCTTCTGATTTGTATGTTGCTGCTCAATGATCAGCCTGCAATCTATACTAGGCAAATTCCACCTAAATGAATAAGCAGATGAATATTAATTACAACGATGAATTATTTCATTATTAAAAGCTTGTTTCATCTGTAGTTTGAGTAATTAATTTGGTACTATTTTGAGTCTCTTGTTGAAATTAAACTGATATTGACATATGAATTTCCCTGATCTCTTGTAGTTGTGGAGAAGCATACTTTTATGGCAGGAACATGTTATTTTAATGTTTTTTTCGGAGATGCCAATTTGACTAAGACTGGATACCACTTAATTCCTAATCGATCTCCTTTATTAGAGTAATCATACATGCAAAAGCAATGCAATTTAAAATTCCATACTGGACATGGAATGACCACCTGAGTAGCATCAATGGAAGGCACAGAGATGATGAAGCTTGCCAGATTCTCTAGCTGTCGTGGTGTTGCATTCGAGATCAATCCAAATAGAACCAATCCTTTTGCAATAATGGGGTTGCCGGGTCCGGCGCCGCCGCGGCCACCATCGCCAACGCAAGATAGAATCGGAGCTAACTTGACATGGCTTCCATGGAGTCGGAACAGTTCTTTCAAGATAGTCCCTCGGTCTCACTACTCAGTTAGCCCGAGTCGAAGCCGAGCCAGCAGCCACTTCTGTGACATTGAGATGGATGAAGCAGACGATGAGGTTGAGGTAGAGCTCATAGCAGAAGTTGTGGATGTAGGGACACCAGAGAAGGTTAAGATTGCACCGCCAAAGAATGAGAAAATGTCAAGGTTGTCTGTGATTCTGCTTGATCAGGGCTTCACGGCGTACAAGATCTTATTCTTGGTTTGTTTGAGCTGGAACATGGTTGCTTTGGCTCTTGCAGCTTCAGGCTATTTCCAATATGGGCGAGACAGAGCCACATTCTTCTCCATTGCCAACATTTGGGCTCTAACTTTGTGCAGAAGCGAGGCATCACTAAGATTAATCTTCTGGTTCGTTGTGAAAACTCTTGGTAGGCCCAGTGTTCCTCTCAAAGTCAAAACTTTGATCACTTCCTTACTTCAAAGCGTTGGAGGAATTCACAGTGGTTGTGGGGTTTCTTCCATAGCTTGGCTTGTCTATTCTCTGGTCCTTACAATAAAAAACAAAGAACAAACTTCCCCAGAGATTATCGGATTGGCTTTTGCGATTCTCACTCTGATTTCTCTATCTTCCCTCGCTGCCTTTCCTGTTATTCGCCATCTTCATCACAACTTGTTCGAAAGAACACATCGTTTCGCAGGGTGGATGGCTCTGATTCTTCTCTGGCTCTTCATCATCCTCTTCATGAGCTATGAGCCTAGTTCAAAAACCTACAATGTAAGCATCTCTGTGTTCATAAAGAGACAAGAGTTTTGGTTCACCATAGCCATAACCATCCTCATTATCATACCTTGGTTAACTGTAAGAAAAGTTCAAGTAAAAGTGTCAGCAGCATCAAGCCATGCTTCGGTTATAAAATTTGAAGGTGGGGTTAAACCAGGACTACTAGGAAGAATCAGCCCATCTCCATTATCAGAATGGCACGCCTTTGGGATCATATCAGATGGGGAAAATGAACACATAATGCTGGCTGGTGCAGTAGGAGATTACACCACGTCTTTAATCTCAAACCCACCAAGCCACCTTTGGGTTCGAACCATGCACTTCGCTGGCTTGCCTTATCTGATAAACCTGTACCAGAGGGTGGTTTTGGTGGCTACTGGTTCAGGGATTTGTGTGTTCCTATCGTTCCTGTTACAACCATGCCCAGCAAGTATGTTTCTAGTGTGGGTGGCTAAGGACATTGAGATGAACTTTGGGAAGGAGATTATGGAGTTTCTGGGGAGATATTCAAAAGAGAAGATGATTGTTCATGACACTGCAATTAGTGGGAGGCCTAATGTGGGAGAGATGAGTGTGAATGCCGCAATTAGATGGGATGCTGAAGTGGTAATTGTTACTAGCAATCCTGAAGGAAGTAGAGACGTTGTTAGAGCTTGCAAGAAGGCTAGGATCCCAGCTTTTGGACCTATTTGGGATTCTTGAAGGACAAATGGAAACTAAGCTAAGGCCAGTGTATACGTAATATGTTAGTATTCATTCACTTCCCCCGTCTAGATTGAACAGGGTTTGCTTCATAATAATTATTGCAAGTTTGTAGAATTGGAGACTTTAATATATATATTACTACTAATTCCTTCATCATTTGTTCAAATTTTTTTTGTTACAATTATCACTACAGAAAATTTACAGTTATTTACTAAGTGAAGAGAAGCAAGAGGCTTTATGCTAAAAAAAAGGCGCCACTTAATACTTTTTATCCTAAATGTGATTTGTTTATATCATCAATGTTCTTATCTTTGGCTTGAAATGGTTGTTAAAAATGTACTGATAAAATAAATAAATAAGCTAAGTAAGCTCAGTTTAGAGTTTACTAAGAATAAACGTATTATACATATTGACATGCTCTTTAACACGACATAAGTAGAACACTTAAAGATACATAATTATTAGCTTATGCAATTGCATAGAGTGGCAGAGGACTACTTTCACACTACTAGTGCAATTGCTTCAGCATGGACTATGTATAACATTGCACAGACAACCCAAAACAAAAGAACATAGTTGCACACATTGAGCCAACAAAACTCAAAAGGACGAGAGGAGTTTACAAATTGACATTCTGCAATCGCCAAAGCGACTTTTATTTATTGACAAACTCCGCAAAACAAACACCAAAACATCAAACATACTGAACGTTTCTGTCTATCAAACCCAAAAAGAACGTCAGGTTTTCCGAGCTTCAGAGGTTTCTCTTCTACGCTCTTCAAGTGCGAATCCCCCTTGGTTGCCACGATCAAACTCTGATCCAATGCTCTGTTTTGAGCCTGCCTCTATTTCATTATCTCCCACAACCATCGTTTTCGTTGTCTGTGCTATTTCTGCTATGGTTTCTCCAATGGCATCGATGACCCCACTTCCTGCTTGACCCTTTGGGACTTGTTCTGAGGCTCTCTCTGCTGGTTTGATCATCGTCTGTCCGATTTCACCCACAGTTTCTCCTACAGCTTCCATAACCTCGCCTCCTCCCTGGGCTACAGTATCTAATGGCTTCTTCATTGTCTGAGCAATATCTCCCACTGTTTCTTTAGTGGATTGTGCATATTGGCCTATAGTTTCTTTAGTGGATTGGGCATATTGGCCTATAGTTTCGCCAATCCCACCACCTTCTTTTGTTTGCCCTCCTCCTTGCTGAAAGGTTCCACTGATGTTTTGGAGCATGCCTCCTTCTCCTCCTCCTCTTTGTTGACCTTGTTCCTGTCCAGATGATGGCCTCCACTCAGTTTCTCAAGTGACACAGGCATAAAGAAGTCTCAATTTTCAGCAGTTATAATTGTACGGTTTTTAATGGTATCATAGCACATTTACTAGAGAAAGGTTGCAAAAATTTTGAAGTACGAAGCCTAAATGAGAAGTGATAAAACGAAAGCTTTTACTACCATTCTCTTCACATTGTAGAAAGCAAAATAACAGAAACACACAAATGCTCATAAATTACTTCTCTTTCCCCCCAGATCCTGACATGACATTAACCTCCATTGTACACTAATTTGAAAACTTGAAGGACAGATATATCAGAGTAAATTTCCTCAGTTTGGAGAGCTGAAATATAAAATTCATAACAAAAAGTATTCTTTTTATGCCCTGAAAAATTCAATCAGAATCTATTTCACAAAAACAATAAAAAGTACTCTCTAAATTTCTTATGACTACATTTTCCAACAAAATTATCAATTCTGAAATGTTCATCACCATTTAAGAAACAAGGAGTGCATGTGAATTTGAAGCTTTAAGCTCAAGCATGCGTAATAAATATATAAATTAGGACTGCGATAAAGCGAATAAAAACCTGTGGCTGAGACGCTTTTTTAGTCACATAATCCTTCTTTGCCTCCTCCTTCTTCCTGGCAGTATAATCCTTAGCAGTATCCCCAGCTTTAGAAGCTAACCCTTTGACAGCATCCAATGACTTCGATGCAATCTCACCGGCCACATTAGCAGCATATCCCGCCGTTCCCTGAACAATATTAGCCGCCGCTTTCGTCCCCTCCACTGTCATCTCCGTGGAATAATGCGCCGCCGTCCACCCTGCCACAGTCGCCTTGTCCTTCAGATCAGCCGCTACTTTTCCAGCATATTCAGCCGCAGTCTTACCAGTCTCCACAGTGACATCCTTAGCCTGGCCGGCTTTCTCTCCAATGTATTGCGTAGTAGTGCTACCTGCAGATTTCGCCTTCTCTGCTGCTTGAGAGGTGTAATCTGAAGCCGTCCCCGTGGCGCTTGAGATGGCGTCTTTTGCAATAGCATAGCCTTGTTGGCCTTTCTCTAATGTCACGTCTTTGGCTTGAGCAGCCTTCTCTAGTGTGTAATCCTTGGCTTGAGCAGCCATCTGTGCAGCTTGAGCAGCCTTGTCTTGTGTGACGTCTTTGGCTTGAGCAGCTTTCTCCATTGCTGTTTCCCTTGCTTTTGCAGCCTTCTCTTGAGCTGTTTGGGTTGTCGAACCGACTGTTTCACTAGCTGCCTGCTTTGCTCTCTCATACCGATCCTGTGCTGCTCTCATGGCTTCCATTGTGTTCTCTTGAACTTGGCCTCTGTATTTGGAAATATCTCCCAAGGTAGATTGCGATTCTTTCTCCTGATCGCCACCTCTTCCTCTGTTTTCTTCAAGTTTTGCTCTCTCTCTTGCTGCTTCTAATTCTCTTGCACCTCTTCCTATTTCTTCCTTCTCGCCTCCTTCGATTGTACAAGTTATAACAGCAGTAGGACCTTGAGTTTTAACTCCAACCCTTCCTTTAACTTCTCCTTCTGTGCCTCTCCCCAGTTTCTCTTCTCTTGATTCTTCTCTGATTCTAGCCTCCCCTCTGTTCTCCAAGCTTCGTCCCACTTCTGCTCCAACTTGCCCTCTGCTTTCTCTTCTTCCTTTCTCCGCTCCAACTTGCCCTCTGCTGTCTCTTCTTCCTTTCTCCGCTTCAACTTGACCTCTGCTTTCTCTTATCTGTTTCTGCACAGCGCTTTCCGTCGGTCTGCCCGTATTTACCACTCTGGTTCGACTCTCGAGTTCAGATTGATTTCTCCCTCTAGCTTCTCCAGCTGAATCCTTGTTCTCTCCAGCTTTCACTTCGAACTTGCCCACATTTGAATGAGGCGCATTGTTCCTGGCTTTAGCGGCATACGACTCTTTATTCTCCTGCTTGTCTCCCTTCACCTTATCAGCAAGAGATTCAAAATGAGGCCCTAATTCATGAGTCTCCCTTGTTTTCCCAGTCCCACCGATATCCCCAATGGCTCTCCCACCGTGCTGCTTCCTGTACTCCCCGCCCTGTAACTCCTGAATACTCCCTTGCGGAGTGTCCGATCCTTCCTTAACCTGTTCAGCCAAATGCTCGAAGTGGGTGGTCATCTTGGGGACTCGATTCTTCTCAACATGAACGTCCCTCTCGGTCGTCGTATTCTCCCTGCGAGACATTTGCTCCGACGCCATTGTTGTCAACTTCTTCTATAAAAGTGATCGCTTTGTGTTTGATGGAATACTTGTTTGACGAAATGCTTGTGTGAGATGAAACACGCAGAGAGACATGAACGTGTGGGATATAAAAGGGGAAGTGGGTATGGCGGTAGAGAGGAGGTGGGTGGTGGATGGGTATGCATGAGAGAGGACATGTGGTGGCAGAGGTGGCGGCGGTGCGACGTGGATGACGGTGGTAGCGCCATAGGGGTGACTCAGCTTTAAGTGTGCAGAAGCTAACGAGGCATGAAGATGACGATCAGTATGGGAATGATGGAAGGCTCTGTAAGGAAGACACATGGAGACTATGAACGAATGACCCGTGTAACCCCGGGGGGAGGGGCGAGACCGAGACATCTGGCCCCTGTTTTCCGTTCATCCAAAAATCTGGCCAGCCTGTTATTTATCCAGTATGATATATATGGCCTATCCAATAATTGGATTTGATTCTTTACTTGGGGAACACACTACACGTGTAGAGTAAGGTGTTTTTGTATTACTTGGGACTCAAATAATAATTTAAAATGTTTATAAAAATATTTTATATCTAAGCTTGAATTCTTTAGTTATCATTTATCACCCAATTTATCAATTAGAACCAATCAACTTTAGCTTTGAAAAATGGAGTTCAAATGCCATTTAGAATCATCAAATTATTAAACTGAAAAATAAGTTTTTATAGTTTAGTCGTTACTTTGGTTCTACAGCAATCAAGACCACCGTAGGACTAGACGTAAAAAGTTATGGACAACTGAATTATGAAACATCCATCATCAATCAATACAACATATACAAAAGTGGATCGAGTTGCATTACTCATAAGTCACGAGTTCTGACTATCGCATGCCATTTTTCATACGCATATTGCATGGAATTAAAAACAAAAAGATAAAACTTAGATTAAGTTAATTAGCTTCCTTAGGACCATTCCTTCAATCAAAATAAGCCAGCTGGAATAAGTTTTGCCATCAGCATTTAACCCCCAAAGCACATGTTAAACACCGTTAAAGTCTGGAAGAAAGCTTTTTTTTTTTTTTTGTAAAATAATTCCAGCCAGTCATTTTTTACATTAAGTGATGGTATTCGAAGATCAAAATCAAAAGTTAAACGTGATGCTTCCAAGTTCAAACTCTTCTGTTAGTAGCAAATTGAACCTTCATCAATCTACTGCAATCTTCTACCTAAATCAATTGCTGGGGAAATAATCACTAAAGCCTAAGTTATCAAATCAATAAAGAATTTTTGGGCTCTCAATGTCAGAGACAGTGAACGCAAGGGAAGAGATGGGAAGGTCTGTCTCATTATCCTCCTCGGCAGAGAGTGCCGAACAGGAAGACACAAAAACATTGAAGTGTTTCTGCGGTTCCAAATAGAAGATACAATGACTTGGCCAATCCTCTCCTTGGCCTAAATTATTTCGCCGTCCTTCCCGATCGTCGCCAATCCGCTCTTCACCATCGTCCTAAAGCTAATCTTCTTTTTCAAAAAAGAAAAAAGAAGCCTTTTTAACAGGCTCTAATGGTGTTTAACGTATGCTTTGGGGTTAAACGCTGATAGGGCAACTTAATCCAGCTGGCTTATTTTGATTGGAGCAATGTACATAATAAACCTAATTAACTTGACCTAAGTTTTCTTCTTAAAAAAAAAAGATAATTGCACGTCATTTTTTGAATTCTATAGAATGGTTGCCTGGTGGAGGTGAGATGGGCTGCAAACTTGCAGCATAAATAGGGCTTCCTTTTCCCTCCTGAATAGTAGGGGTTTTTACATATTCCTCCGGTCTTTAATATAAGACTCATTTAACTAATTTGATTAGATTAAGAAAGTTAGGTAAATTAGTTAATTATAAGAAATGTGACACGTTTTTCCTAAAATACAATAATTATCTTTTTTAATACCTCATCTTCCTCTTCTATTTGATTATGGTTGGGAGAATATCTATAGGGATAATTTAGAAAAAATTGATAAATATGATAAATAGGTCATATATTTAGAACCAAAACCAACTCAATAATTAGTTCTTATATTAAGGACCAGAGGAGTACATATACTAAATAAAAAGTTCTTCGCTTTATCAAGTAGGGCTTGAATGTAGACTTAATTTGAAGCAATGGACAACAATTGAGAAGGCTAATTAATTATTTGGGAACAAATGAAGGCAAGTTTATGCCAAAAATAGTGTAGCTTTACAATTTTGGAGCATAATAACACCAATGCCTTGCTGGGTTTATTACCCCCACTTACAGAACCAAATTAAAAATCCCCCTAAGCAAAAGAAAGAGAAGGAAAAAAGAAAGGACTTACCCTGTGGAACAAACAAGTTGAAAATATTAAGAAAAGAGAGCAGCATGAAGAAGAAGATTCCAGGTATCAGGCAGGCCAGGGAGACACCAATGGCTGCAATCAGTTTCCATGACCTTACTGTAAGCTTCTGGATGCGCATCTTTCCTGTACTGAGAGAGTGTGGTCACATCCAGAAAGTATACCGGCTTCTTCATCCTGCTCAACACTTTGTTCACCACCACCCATGCCATTGGTGTCCCTGCTGGGTACTTCAGACCAAAGTATGGCTCTGTCTCCCTCATGCATGACCTTGCTGGTTCATTCCAATCTCTTCCCCTGTGTGCGCACATATAAATATTCATTCACCGTTCACTATTCTAACTCACTCACACAATACATTCTTATGACTGTTTAAAAACCCGTTTGCCTTGGTTTAAAGTAATTTAAGAGTCTTGAAAATTGCAAAAGTTCACTTTTCAATAAATTTCAAGATAGGATATGCATGAAAACTTTTCAATAGATTATAAAAATGCATTTTTTCAATAAATTTAAAGGTGGGTTAATAACTCTGTTTAGTGGTATGAAAACTTCCTTATAAGTGAGAGGTTGTGGGTTCAACATCGCTTATAATTTCTTATGATTAATGCCACATGCTCTTCTAGAGGAAAGAAATGTTTTTGAGGATGGAGAGGGGAAGGACATACTCATAATGTACAGGAGAAATGCCTAAGAAGAAGACTTTGGTCTTGGCAGGATCAACATTGAGGTTGACCCACCTAGCCCAGGTGGTGAGCCCTTTGTAGTAGGCAATGAACCTGTTCATGTCCTTGTACAGTTTCTTATCTGCCTCCATGTATTCCCACCTGCATCCTCCCAGTTAGTCTATTGTCACCAAACGTAATAACCCAACGGACAAACTTGCTTTAATTTTTCAAAGATGTTATTATTAAGGTAAGCATCATGAGCAATAATGTCACGAGATAGACAAAAGCGAGGTCATGGATCGTACGGCTGAGATGTTTCAGTGTGGGTCCACCAATGCCAGGTGTTGAACACCAGAACATCCATTCCTCTCCAGGCATCACCGCTCTTGATGGAATCAAGTTTCAGCACTCGTCCCACACTCTCACGATCAAGATCCACCAAATATGCCGTCCGGTACAGATTCAACTGTAGCCCATACTCCTGTTCACAAATTATCAACAACCCCATCATTTTTCACTTCTCACCTCACCATGTCTTTTTCCTATTTTGTGGTTCAGTTATATAAATTACACGATCTTATTGTACTTTATTAATAATTAAATTTTTAAACAAATTATTAACTTAAAAAGTTTTATGTTAATTCATATCATAAAAAAATCAACAAAAAGTAGTAGCAGTCTCACTTTGTAAGAAGAAAACTACAGATTTGGATTTCAAAAAGCATACTTATTGAAATAGTTATTCATTAACTGTTTCTTCTGACCTAAAAATGATTAATCTCTAAAAGATTCCCAGTTCCACCTTAAAAACAAAGAAGAAGAAAATTATATTGACAATGGAAAGCCTAACACAAACCCTTGAGTTTAAAAATCTCACTTCAATGCTACTATTATTGGTGAAAACTTTAATGTTAATGTATCATCCATCCCTATGCTATGCTCTTTCCTCAATTTTACGCCAACTTTCATTTTAATTAGGGTAAATCTAGGTGTAAGTACTATGATTCATTGCAGTAAATGATTTGTGAGTGTGTTACTTAAGAGTTCATTGTCCCTTCATGATCTAGCTGGAATTACTTAGGAGGACGGTGTGTGTCCAACATCAATCATTGCTAATTTTGACATTAATTTCCCTTTCAAGCATTTGGGTTCTGCCAGCCCAAACATTCAACGCAACAAAATCACGAGTTTCAAATATTTTATTGGAAAAACTATATAATAAACAAAAAAACCCTCTCACACAACTAATCCTTGTGTGCAGCTCTAATAACCAAACATTAAAAACTAATAAATCACCAATATAAAATATTGAAAAAAATATGTATAATCACACCATGCGTAAGGCATGACAAATTTACTTCTATTCAACTCGAAAGTTTGAATCAGATTTCAAGAGCAAGACCCACAAAGTGACACTGTTTTAAACTGTATATGTTTTGTGGAGTAGTATCTAATTAAATTGAGAAACAATAATAATGGGCACGTTGGAATTTGGTGGCAAAAGTGAGGGATTAATAAATTACGCAAAGCCTAAGACAGTATCATTAATTATGCATTACTATGAAAATCAGACATGTTCCCTGAAAAAGGCAAAAGCATCCCACCAATCACGTCCTTAACATTATTGCTCTCACCGTTCGTTGCTTTTCGCGCCGTAACAGACAAAAATATGCTCACCCCCAAGTTTGTATCAAAATCGGATTTTGGGGTTAACAGAAAAATATGATGAAAGTTTGATGTTACATATATGCAACTTTAGGCTGAAAAGAGGAGAAAATGAGAGAGAAAAGGAAAGAAATTTAATTAAATTAAGTAACCCACCTCAAAGGTCACTGATGTAAGAGGGCTCCCCTTGGAGAAGGTGGTCCTAGTGTTCGGCACCCAAGAGTAAATCATACAAGCCAGCGAGTTGAATTGGTTCAAACTCAGTGAGTCACCGACAAACATTATCTTCTTCCCCCTGTATTTCTCCAGGAAATTCGTAGCATTGAATCTGCTCCAAAATTATTC